GGCAAGCAAGCGCCACAACCACAACACTCTGAGGCCTTTCATCCTTCTCAAAATTTAATGGTGACACAGAAAAACTCAACAGCTCTCCACAAAAGTACACTTTGGAGGGGAGACTAGAGATGTTGGTGTTGACTCTCAGACAAGGATGCAATTTTCTTCGAGTGTATCTCTGAAGCAATTGAAAAACACTTATGCTAATTCTCCCTAGCAAAGATTCCTTATTTGTTTAAACCCTTTTTTTTTTACTGTGTGGTTTCTCTTCAGAGTATAATAGGCCATCAAGAAAAGCTTTGTCTTTTATGCACGGATACTGATTCCTGTTGTAATTTTGACAATAAACTTTAAAAATTACAAAAGAGAACAGAGTCGTCTGCATAAAGAAAGATCGCCAGTTTGTTAATCAGAGAATGCCCTTATTTTACGATGTTGTTTGAAAGAGGCAGAGGCCGTAGTGTAATTAACATTTACTCTATACATCTATACTGATGTAGCTTCTGATTGTGGAGTAACTTTATCACATTTTTTGCAGCTATTTTCTTGTTTTTCAGTCAACAAACACTTTCTGCAATTATCAACTCTGTAATAATATAGCAGCAGTTGGTATCTGTTTCACTTTACACTATTAACCAACTAGCATAGAATGAGTTAGCTACTTGCATATGAGCTAAAAGTGTAGCACTAAACAGCTGTTTAGCTAGTGTTAAGGAGAAGGATGAGCTAAGTAAGTTTTCTAGAGCCATCTAGTGGCCAAAGGTGGAACCTTAGAGCTAAAAAGCTGATATACTGTATTTTGAAGACCATCATGTTCCTTGAAGAACCTGTAAAGCTGCGGTGAGTTTTATGTGAAATGCCATTTTCACACGGTTTCACCTCTAGTTGTTTCTTTGGCGGCACCTTTGACTTTATTTCAAGCAAAAAAAGGAGGAACAGTCTTTTAATTTCCTGATTTTTCCTCCAAAGTTCAGTCCAGAGGGTTCAAAATCTCAGCCCCTCACAGAGTCACTGCCATTGATCATGATCTCTAATAAAGCAGTATTTGTTTCATGACTTTCAAGAGTTAAAAGAGTTAATATTCAGCCAAATACATTTTATTTACTCCACCGAGGAAGAAAATGTCATTTCTCAACCTATAAATCCATAAAAAGATTAGAGGAGTTAAATCTACTGTTGGCTTTATGAAGAAACCTCTTTAGGTTCGTGAGAGACTAAACATAAAGTGACAGTGTGAGATAATAATATAGTACCTGTTAAAGCAGTTTGGTTAAACACAATGTAAAGCTCTGTTGAAAGAGAGATGTGTTGAATGTTTTCCATCAGCCACCTTGCACCTACCTGTTTGATCACATGATTTTGACCAACAAGGACACTGTGTTCTTTCGTCCGAACAGCAGATGGACTTGTAACATGTTACGAACGGCTTTTGGCTGCATACACTCAGCCACAGCAGAGCAGTAGGAGGAAAAAAACAGGCGTTATGTGATGCAGGGGAATCCAGTTTCACCTCACTGCAGATTCACCATGAAGCTTGTTTAGAGGAACCCTGACTCTCTTGACAGGTGGAGTCACTTTTACTTTTCCTCAAAGTCAAGAACCGAATCATCGGTGCAGTCAGAAAATCTCGTATTTGCATTTTCTGCTTAAGTATCTTCAAATGTAGTTTTTAAACTATGTTATTGAACACATAAAATGAGACTGCACAAGCATTTTATGAAGTTACCCCCGGAGGTCTCTTCTTCACAGAAACAAACAAAACAGCTGTTAGATACAGGACATAAAAACACTGAATAAAGCATGTAAAGTTCGCTGTTGAAATCCCTGTTGTCCTTATATTCATAGCAGTTAGCAAATAGCCCTTCTGTTATACAGCAGTGTGATTTTGGTGTCCCAGGGATTTTATGAAGTGTTATAGTGACATGGCGTTTCTCTGCTCTGCTAGACCGTTTACAGTGACACCAATATGCTTCTGTGTTACCTCTCATGTCAAAACATAACCCTGTTATTATTCACCTCTGTGATTCAGGTAATAGACAAGGCTCAGCAGTTTCATTGTGAAAAAGATAGTTCACATAAGAATATCAAGAGTTGTGAGCAGAGATGTTACTAGCTTATTTTATGGGAGGGGCAAAAACCTTTTTATGGGTCTAATCCAGTGGTTCTCGAGGCCCACTGTCCTGAATGTTTTGAATGTTTCCCTGCTCCAACACACCTGATTCAAATGATGAGCTCGTTATCAAGCTCTGTGAAGGCTTAATAACGAGCTAATCATTTGAATCAGGTGTGTTGGAGCAGGGAAACATGGACTTGGACTGGACTTGAGAACCACTGGTCTAATCCTTTCTGTAATGATGCAGTTTAACAGTAAAAAATCAGCGTTTCTGTTTCATTCATCAGCTTCAGCTAGCTGTTAACTTCAGCCAACTAGCTGACAATAATCCTGCATCTGACTAAATGATAACATAATGCCAAGGTGAGTTAAAACATTAAGAAAGCAGCCAGATGGAAACATTTAAAAATCAAATCAGTGTTGGCGTGTATGAAAATATTTCTCACAGGCATGCCACGGATTCATTTTGGCTAATTTAGGCAGATTAAGTAGTCTTGGCTTCTTATTCAAAAGCTAAAACAGACCTCACTGACAGAAATCTGAGTGAGGTATTTTAATCCAAGTCAGGGAATTCAGAAAAAAACTCCTTTGTTTTACTCCATCAGTGCATCATTATAGATTTGTCACTACTGAGAAATTATTACCTGTACTTGGAACTGAATCAACTTAAACCCGCTGGGGACATTGAGTTTTCTGACAGCGAGAGATAATTAGAACTTATGTAACTATGTATTTCTGATTGTTTGGTTTTTCCACCAAATGAAGACACTGTTTACTCTGAGGCTTTACACGAGAATGAAACCAGATGTATCATCTGATTAGCTTTGCATAAATGAGGATTTTACCCTCGGCTGAAAAGTAAACTCCTGATTTGGGTTTCATTAACATACGGCAGAGTTTAATTTCATTTCAGGAGCCTCATCCATACCCTACTGCTTCAGTCAATAATAAAGTCCCAGTTAAAGAAAAGTCATGATAACCTTGTAATTAAAGCTGTTAGATGTAAAAGACCCTGATCTTGAATCTTACAGTGTGACAGCAGTGTATGCGTTTAATACGTGTGTGTGACCTCTTCAAAGTGGCACACAAAAAGCTCACATAAAAGACTTGTTCATCTTTTATTTCTTAAGACAGCAGACAGGTTAGGGAGCAGAGGAAATGTGGAAATTCACTGTGCAGCAAACCTGAACCGAAAACAGCAACGAAACAAACAAAGAGGTAGTTCCTTTAGAAGTAAAAGCACACAAAATCCATTTGTTTCTTTAAACTCAACAGTGTGTGGCCACCGTGACATTAATGCCTTTTTTTTTTTTTGTGGGTTTGTGAAAATAATTAAGCTTATACTCATGAGTGTCAGCCCTTCTCAGTGCCGTCTGAAGTCTTTAAAGTGCAGTCAGAGATCAGAACAAAGAGTCTGTGGAGATTTAGTCTGCTGTTGTGCTGTGCCGTTTGTCAGCTGGGTTGCGAAATACAATCATGACACTTTGGTTACACTGCTGATGCCTTTACAAGAGAGACGCTCGAGATCTGCAAGCTGACATGGCTAACAGCATCATGGCAAGCAAAGGCATGAGGAGACATGGTTGAATTTTTATCTGAGAGAGTCAGAGACCTGTTTTCGATTCTGTTTTTCCATATTTTCACCAATCTCCAGTGTCTGCCGCCTTCTTTTTTAATGCAGAGACCATCACGTGTACATCAGTGGAAAAGGTTTAAAACCACAAGTGCGTAAGAAGCAGGATTATTGATCTCTGCCGAGGGGTCAGTTGCCTGCAAAATTTAGAAACCTTAAAGCTCCAGGCATGCTTTTTTAAAACTGGCCTGCAAACACGTTCTCATTAAAGGACTAGTTTGAATATTTATATTTAGCCTGGAGCTGTAACACAGGATAGGCACTGTCTGTTCAATTGTTTTAGCCAGTTAGTTAGTTCGTTAGCTTACCGTCGTAGCCAACCAGTGGTCTGGCTGGTTTCGATGGTTCCAATATCTGATAAATTAGCACACTTTTAGTGCGAAATCTTGAAGTATAGACGTTAAAAATCTGCTCATTATTTTTTGTAAGCACAAGTAACATCATGAAATCCCTGCAAGTAGCAACCAATCTTCGTCAAAACTAGCATAACCCTAATTAGGACAGCAATTTTTTGCATCGTTAAGCGTAAAATTAAAAATACGAGGTGCTATACAGCAGATTTATTCAATTCTGTTAGAGGAGTCAGGCCAGCTTCCCCCTTATTTCCAGCCTGTTAATGCTAAGCTAACTAGCTCCCTGACCTAGCAATGACATTGACCCCGCTAGCACAAGTTCAGTATTCATCTTCTGCTCTAATTCAAGGCAGGAACAGTAATACAGTTTGCCCTTCAGTGTCTGCCACACCCTCAAAGCTTTGTCTTTAGGAGTCTCTGTCAATGTTAACCTTTAAGCTTATTTTTCTCCATTTTTGGCTTTAATTTCTGAAATAAACACGATAAATCAAATTAATATTCAAGCAAACCTGTGGAAATTTTTGGCACAAAAGTAACGAGAATTTTCACACATTGCAGAGAATTGTTAGAGCAAGGGGGGTTTATGGGGGCCCAGCACTTTGTTCTCGCCCTGGGGCACCTCAGAGGATAGGTCCGGCCGTGTGCATTTCCTTTTTCTGATGTTAAAGACGTTATAAAGCTTACAACACACTTCAGTGGGTATAAACAGACAGTGGCACTTATCAGATTGGGAAAGCCTGGAATGGAAACACTGTGAGTTGAAGCTCATAGAAACACCCAGTGAGGGGCGGACAGTGGGCTGCCATTAATTACAACAGGACAATGAGATGTAACATCAAAAGACAACACAGGCTCCTTTTAAAAAATTCCTTTTAAAATCGTCTTAGTGGTGCAGCTTGGTTCTGCAGACCTAGAAGGATTTTTTCCAGGACTTGCAGAGAATCTTCTGGAAGGCGCGTCTGAAGTCCCGGTTGAAGATGGTGTAAATGGCAGGGTTCAGGGAGCTGTTACAGTAACCAATCCAGAAGAAGAATTTAAAGAGGGGGTCAGGGATCTTACAGGACTCCCTGCACACACTGTACAGACTGTAGCTGAAGAAAAAGGGGAACCAGCACACAACAAACACCCCCATGACCACAGCCAGGACGAATGTAAATCTCTTCTCCCGGGCTTGGGAGATCTTTTTCCGGGCTATGGAGCTCCGGCGACGTTTCCTCCTGGAGGCAAAGAGGTCTATGGATTTATTACTGACTCTGGAGATGCGTGTGGACTGTTTGGAGAGGGAGCTCCTCTTTTGGCCTATCCTCTTGGCTTTTTGGGAGTCCTGTCTCTGAGGTCTGTGACCTTTGCCCTCTGAGGAGGAGCTCTCCTCCATGTCTGCGTCGTCAGTCTGGTGCCCCATGGTGCCTGTGCGATGGCTGGGCGTAGGCGGGCACTGACAGTGACCGTTTTCTTTGTCGCCATGGTAAGGGGAATTGGCTTTGCTCAGTCCATTCTCAGTTTGTGTGACACCATCTGGCCTCGGCTCTTTTCCCGACATGCTCCTGGTTCTGGTTTTGGCCACTTGGTAGATCCTGATGTACACCAGGATCATGATTAAGCACGGGGCAAAGAAGGAGGCAATGCTGGAGGAGAGGATGTACCAGGTGTCATCATTGAGCTCGCACTGAGGCTGGGAGCTGATGTTGCTGTTGTTGTCTATTGATAAGAGAGGTGGGGATGAGATAAAGGCAGAGATGAGCCACACTATAACGATGATGCACTTGACGCGCTTAGGAGTCCGCTTCAGGTTGTACTCTACAGCCTGCGTAACGGACCAGTACCGGTCCAGGCTTATTGCGCACAGATGGACAATAGAAGACGTGCAGAATAAAACATCCAGAGCGAGGTAAATACCGCACCAAACTTTCCCAAAATACCAGTAACCCATGAGCTCATTCGCGAGGGAAAACGGCATCACCAAAGTGGCGACGAGGATGTCCGCGGTGGCCAAAGACACCAGAAAGAGGTTCTGCGGAGCTTTCAGCGCCCTGCTCGTCAGCACCGCGATCACAACAAGAATGTTCCCAACAACCGTGAAGAGGATGAGGAAACTTACGAGAGCGGCGATGCTGGCGATCGCTGCCAAAGAATATCCACTGTCCGCGCTCCAGGAGGAATTCAGATGGATGACAGTGAACGCGTCCATCCCGGTGGCATTGAACGGATCCATCCCGGCTGGTTTTTGCGCGTTATAGGTATCCAGGGGTGTTTGAATGTTGGCATGAACTCACATTCAGCCCTTTGGAGACTGAGGAGTCCATCAAAAACGCACCTTTCCTTGACGAATCTGACGACATTGGATACGCGCGCAGAGAAGGAGCCTTTTGGAGGAAACCAGCAGCTTTCTCATCACATACATCTAACTAAAACGGTTAATATCTCTCATGCGCTCTGTTTTAGCCTTTTCACGCGTCTTGTGGTTGTAAGGACTGGAGTCCAGCCGCCGCTCTCCCTCCTTCAGCATGGTGCGCTGGCGCTCCTAATGATGCCCCATGTGTTGTTCTCATACAACTCCCCCACTGCTGCCCCGCCCCCGGCACACAACATTAGATCAGGTTGTTGGAATATGGTAAGACTACAGGGACAGGGCTGTAATCTAACCCAAAGAGTGAGATTAAAATGATGAAACAAGAAGAAAATTGAAAGGAAAACCAGATATTTAGAGGAGAGTCACAAATTTTAGTCTCTTTTTCTCTTTTCCAGACCCTCATCTCTCTGGAGGTCAGTGCTACTACTCCAAAACAATTAAAGTCTCTCCTACTGTCAGCGCCTCAATATTGACAGCAAACATGATTCCAGGTTATTTGAAGTAAAACATGTGTCACTAAACAAACACCTCTCTGAGGTTTGCAGGATTTCATGTTGGCGCATGGTGGGTGTGTGTGTGTTTTTGTGGCAGCCTCTCAGGGGGAGTGTGATTGTGTGAGCGGATGAGGAAGGGGTGAGTCATGGGACGATGAAGATGTGAGACTTGTCGAGGAGGGGGTTTGTGCTACTCTTGCTGACACACAGCTGTATAAATCAGGTGTACAACCAGATTAGATCTCCAACTCTGTTCACACACACGATAATTGTAGTCAGGCTAAAACATAAAGCAGCGTATCATCAACATAGAGGGGTTTTCTGTGACCTCTGACTTATGTTTAATGCTGGATAAGTCGCCAGCTCATGTTTTAGTGTTATAACGTCTCTGTATATGAGAGTATGAGACTCTCAGTGAGGGCGGATTTTATTGCACAGGATCTAAACCTTTCTGCTCTGCAATTTTTACAGTCACGTAAACCTCTCCTCTTGTTTTTCTCCAGTAATAGGGTTATTATTGATTAGAGAGGAGGCGCTAAAGGTCACATTTCGTACACTTCCTCAGCTGTTATACGCAGCATCTTTATTGTCCTGATATTTGTGAAAACTGTTTTTTTTTTAGGTTTGATGTTCCCTTTTTTCATTTCTTTATCATTTCTTTTAAGTAATAATCATCATATTAATAATTTTGCACTGCAGAGGCGGTAGAAATGATAATAAATGTTCTTCCTTGAGCTGCTTCACCCCGCTGCAGCTAGTTTGGACTGGCCTGAGGTCTTGCTACAAACAAGCGGCTGCTGGAAGAGAGTAGGTGAGTTTTGTTTAGTCTCTTTGCTAAAGAAATCAGGCAAAGCTAAAAAGATGTTTGATGGCTAGTGCTGTGGCTAGGACCCTATATGCCGTGTTGATGAAGTTAGGTGCTGTTCTGAGCATTATTTGAGGCTATAGAGTGGCGTTTTGGTTGAGGTTTGTTTATGTCTCCTCAGACCGCTGTGTATTGCTATCGTGCGGTCATTACTAAAGTTGGTATAACTAGAGAAGCAAGTGGTCGGCAACATTAATCTCTCGAGGGGGTGTCTAACTTGGTGTTACAGTGTGTTTGACCCTAAATTAATTTTACACCTGAATATCCCTTTAAAGCTCCTGTTTGGAACTTTTAGGTCAGTGTCATTTTGGCGCCTCTTTTGCTTTTCTTGTCCCGTACATGCTAAAGTAGTGTCTTCTGACCAAAGATAATCTCACCCTGCTGACTTTCAACTGTCATATGTATTATTAATCGTGAATATTAAGGAAAGAAATTATGAAAACAGCTGCTCATCTGACACCTCCCCCTTAGCAACTATTACAGGCATTAAAAATTACTGTATGAAAGTCACGAATCTTGCTCAAGATGGTATTTTTTTGCTTTTGTTTATCATAGAAGTGCATCAATTTAAATTTATCTTGGTTACATAAACATAAAAAAAAACTCCTCACAGGCGCTTTAACATGGCCCTTAATTTAGATGTGCAGTGTCACAAAGACACTGTTGTAGCTGCAGCTGAAAGTATAAAGACTATATTCACTTTTCTGTTTTAAAGCTTCTATAAGGAGTTTTAAATAGTTATGTGACAGCAAACATGACCATCAGTATTACGACAGATTTTAAGTATATTGTCATTTTTAACACTTGAAACTGCTGCCACAGGGTAGGTGTCGGACAAGCTCTCTGAACCGCCTTATTTACCTAAATTTTATCCAAATTACTGATGCCTTTGAATGGAAGAAGAAAGCAGGGGGATAATATAACATAACAAAACAATGTTTATACGTGCAAAGAACAATCAGCAGTGATATCATGCACAAACAGAGGGCGCCAAAATCGACACAAACCACAGTTTATTGCAGAAACTTTAAATTCTGTTTCAGACATACTGAATAGATATCAAAAAGAGCATCCTTTCACTGTTTTATAGAAAATAAATGGCACATTAAAGGGATACTTCAGTTTTTTTTAAGTGAGGTTGTATAAGGTGCTTGTCAATAGTGCATTAGCCACAGATGAGGCCATTTAGCTTGGCTTTTATGTGAGAAAGCAGCCAGAGTACTACCAGGTAAGCTCAGCTTTCAACCACTGCAGTCAGAGTCAACCGTAAGGTGTAATTAGCTAGTTTGAATCAGCTCCAATCCAAATGCTCATTATGTTGGTGTAAACGTGCAGTCTCAAATCAGTGCCCTGCAGTCAGAGAAACACATGCTTATAAAAAAAAAGTGCAAGAACAAATTGGCTTCCTGACAGCAAATTAAAAAGCTGAGAAAACTCTACATAGACCCCGTTAACACCATCGTAGAGTAAGCGTTTAGGTCTGAGATTTTTAGACTTCGCTAAATTAAGTGTTGTGTAGTGTCGACCACATCTGCAGCGGTCGACAGCCTAACTTCTGTTCTCTGGCTGCTTTCTGACCAACATCTCCTGGGGCTGCTACACTTCATATGGCAGGTACCTCATACAAAAACCCACCTAAATCACTGGAGCACTATCTCGTGTGCTTTGAAAGTTATTTTTCTTCCAAATGACTGTCTTGGAAAGAACTTCAAAATAAAAGCACAGTGAAAACAAAGGAAAAATAAAAAAATCGGGCTTTTACTTTGAAAAGCATCCTATAAGTACTCTTAAGGTCCTCACATACCGGGACCGTTTTTTTCGTGCGATTATTTTGGACGATTACAAGCGTTCACATCAGCAACGTTTTCCTGTTCTGCGATATTGCAGCATTTATTTTTTCATATTACAGTAGATTTTTATAAAGTCCACTTCTGACCAATCGTAATTTCGTTTCGTACATTTGCATCGTTCCCTGTGTGTAAGGACCTTCATGCTGTGTTATACTTTTGAAACAAAATAGATAAACCCCTCAGTGTTTCTTTAATTGTCTGTTTTGTCTGCACACGGCTTGTGCAAGTGTTGTCAAGACTTCTATTCTCAAGAATTTCAGGTCACGCGACACACTCGAGACTCTCAATGCAGCTCACTTACTCCCTCATTTCTCCTGCTTCTCACACTTCAGCCTCAAGGTCAACATGTTCTTTTACTGCCAATATATCCTACTCACTGACAAGTGTCTTTATAATGAGAGAATCAATAATACTACATCCCATCATGTCTGCGGTTGTGATGTTTTCGCTGATCATTGCGTTGAGAGTCGTCTTAATTCAAACAGATTTAAAGGTTGAAATCATTTGGCGTCATTATGTTGAGAGCGTTCCTCCTGGTATCACCTCCTCCAACAGGGATCACGGCTTTCTCACCCTCTCAGGACTTAAATGATTTGGTTTATTTTAATGTTTGGCACTTGAATAGTTCACGCTGCCTGTACAGACTGCTGTTCCTGCTCTGGTACGCTTTGTTTCAGGGACTGTTTGGTTTGTCTGGTGCATGCTAGGTCACAGAGACAAAACATGTAAATCACTCCAGGAGTTCTGCAATTTATAAGTCCTCGGATTGGGATTTCTTTCGAGTGCGTGGAGAATAACATGATTTTGTATGTGTCGTGTTGTTACACACACACAAAGACGCACCGTAATCAAACTGGAAGGTGGTGTAACACCGCACAAAAGAGTTTCGTGACTGTCGTCTTGCAGGGCTAAGCTTTCAATCTGTTGTTATTGAATGTCAGAGTATCCAGCCTGAGTAGATAGAGAAGAACTCTGGGATTGAAAACAGACAAGAGCTCTCAGACACCAGCACCTCATGGGAACACCAGGCCTCGCAGTCCACAAGTTCAAGAGATACTCTGACATCCTTCACGTTGAATGAGGCTGCTGGTGGATCATAGACAGAAGTGATCCTCTGTGAAAGAAATATGGTATCAGCTTGAAAAAAGTACTTGAAGGTGAGAAAATGCTATTGGAAGAGGCAGAAAACTTCTCAGTTTTCCTTTATCCTTTTGAGGGATTGAACTTTATTGTCCTCTTCAGATAAAATAGCCTTTCACCGAACCAAATATGAAAGCAGAACAACATAAAGAACTGAACAGAGAATCTGCTGTAACTATTGACACTTAGAGTTTTGAAAATCAACTATTCATGGGTTTACTTTCCCTGTTTTACATCAGCCATGAATCATACCAGGACAATATCATCTAACAATCAACCTGTTTAGACACAGACTGTATTGAGTGGTCCCTTAAGTAGAATTTTGAAGTCTTTTGACGATGTTTGCCATATTAGTAACACAGACTTAATCAAATTTTGGTCCATTTAACACCTGAGCCGAATGTCCTGTTCCCACTTAACATGAACGACTAAATTAGCATGTGTTTGGATGCCTAAATTAGGGATGAGGATCGATAATCGGGTCCATTAAATTCCTGCTAAACCTGAAAATCA